GAAGGTCCCCCTAACAATGTTATCTCAGGAGATTCATCGAAACCAAGTTTCTCTTCGTATCTACAAAATATAGAAGTTTTAAGGTCTAATGATCCAATGAAGAGCATGACTTGTTGGATTATAAGCTTAATAGACCTGTTAACCTAATGCACATGTCGTTAGAGCCATCTCTGATCTGATAAGTTGAGTCACCTTTCCCTTGTCGGCGGTTCAACAATCTCTCCCTCACCTTTAGTCTACCAATCAAGCATAAGTAATTCTTATTCGACCTTACACCTTAATTCCTTTCATCCAACGCATTCTCTAAACTATCGTGTTAATGATCTCTCTTATCTTCAGTTCAAAGAAGAAATACCACAATCAGCAAGCTCATGCGCTGTCGTCTTCCGGTGTGGTCAACCAATGATAGTCTTTTCATACACTTTCATACGAAATAAAAGTCCCCAATGAAAGTCTATGCTGACGGAGGTGCTGTTGATAGTGATATCGATGATTATGATTATGATAGTGTATAAAATGCTCCCATATCCATTTTAAGAACCAATGCTTTATAGGTTAAGTGGCCCAAGTACTTGGCTATTTTTACTCATATGACTGTGGCATTTGTGGAAATTGCCTTGGTAGCCAGTAAATAGAGCTAAATTCCAATTCTAGGTTGCCTAGACCTAACCTTCAAGACTAATGGGAAATTGCTACATCAAAATATTTCTTGAAAGTTAACACTGTGCTTGATGATGTTTAACATATGATGGACGAAAAATCAGCTCAGCTTCGCCAGAAACAAGGGAGGGTGTCTTGTGGACTGAATCAACATGAATCTCTTCAGCAGAATCTTTACCTGAGATGGATCAAGACAAAATACCCGGCAGGAGTATTTGGCTTAGTTACCAGTGAAAAAACCGCACGGATAAAGATGACGCCGACCCGCCGAATTTTTTATTCCGATTAGGACGTCCTCCGGAGAGCAGTCACATGAAAATAAGTGACAAAGCCATTTCGATTAAGGCAACCGGCGGATGAAAGAATCAACCGGCAAAGAATACTCACCCATCTTTGCTTGGCTCAGAATAAAATAAGATAAAAGCAGGAGCAGGATAGTAGTGAAGAGAAATGAGCGGTACTAAAGTCCACATAAAAAGGGGTGGGATACGGTTATTTCTTCGTAAAAGCTCGAAGTAGATCAATTGAAATTTTGATTAAACTGGGCTAACAGACTACTTAAATCAGTTGAGTACTAATTTGCCCACTTTCAGGTTTCGTCAAATGCAGGGCTTCTGGTTACTTGATCATTACAATAGGCATTATTTTATGCTTTCTGGAAGAGTTGAGCTGTGCTCTTCCTGAAATGTACAAAATATGTTGCAGTGGACCAAAGAGGGGGGCTATTCACCCATCTTCTCAGCTACACTTTCAGGGAGGCTACGAGGAATGAAGAAAGGGCTCTAAAGAGCGCTCGTGCTTGTCGTTCTCGTAGGATTGATTATCGGAAACATTGTCGCTTATTTAGCAGCAATTATCCCATGCAGTAGGAAAGCATAAGCTCAAATGAAGTACCCCCGTCAGTGAAGCCAAGCCAAGAATGAGAGACCAAACAAAGCCGATACAAAGAAGGGGGACTTCAAGCACCCAAATGGCCATACCTGGACTACAAAGTGGGCATTTCGTAAAATTATGGGGGTAAAATTACAGATGGAAGGTCAATAAGTTTGGATGTTCTCTATTCAAGCTAAATTTCACAATATCAGGAATCTATGGCAAAATAGATAGACAAATGCAATTATAAATCGGTGCTGTTGCCACATTAATCGCCCCCAAGAGACAGCACGGTAGTTTAATGGCTTTGCTGCCACCCCTCCTCTGTATCATTACAAGCTATGATTTAGGTCTAACTGAAGACGAGCTGGGGTTAAAATATAAAGGATGAACAGTGCAACAAGCAATGAATGATTAAACGTTGCATGTATAAAAAGTGATTTTATCTATGCTAAAAGATTTCAAGAGAACATGGCCATAGCGATCAAGTTTTTAAACTGGGGAAACTGGGAAGTTGAGATTGGCTTGGGGTCTTGGATAAAAGACATTGTAGATGGAATGGCGAATTAAGGCTTACTTTCAGAGCAAATATAATTTTCATTATAAGGACAGATATGTGGAAAAAGAGGCGAGAATTTTGGCAATACATGGGAGCTAAAAGGCTGCTATCTGAAATGGATTGAGAATAAGGTAAGTTTACAAGTTTAAAGGTGGATATTTACGAGTATTCGGCTTACTGCAAACGACCAGTGCAATTGTGCAATATTGGCATTTTGGGTGTGCTTATAAGAGTATTTGCCTCTGTTGAAATGGGCATAGAAACTAGAAGCTCGGGTACTTTCTCGAGGCTATATTATGCAGCGTCTGTCCAGTTGTTTTCACCATGTCACCTTAAAGTGGTTTGCCTTCGGCGGGCAAGGGAGCATATGACTGGCGCCACAGTTGTCCTTAAATTGTACACTGTACGCTTTAAGGCTAAACGAAACTTCACAAAGGTGACGCCCATGCAGGAATCTGGGGTGCTCAGCGAAAATACCAAATGCCCTTGAAGCAATACCTCCGTTCTTTGGCTGTGGGCATTTTTGTTGTAGTCTACAGTGCAGCTTATTCTAGGAACCGGGGCGCCTTAAACCGCCTTCTCGAGGAGACCGGCGATTAGCAAACCCTTTAGCAACCGGCATTTGTACTGTTTTTATAAGGCAAGTAAGGCGCTTTGATCTCTTTACTAGTCGCCGATATGCTAACCACATGAAGAAGTCTTGTCGCTGGCTTTTGGTGAGAACCTGGTCAGCCTGAAGCGTGAGATTTTCCAGTATTTTATGCCGAAGCAGTAAGCTCCAGAGTGACAAATAAAATTTGCATCAAGTCAACAGTCTCAGGCAGAAGAAAGCGAATTATTCTCCCGTACGAAGCTTAGCCTCCTCAAGACAGGAAGCAGCAGACGGTAGCACCTAAAAGTGGCCTGAATCGTGATGTTGTCGGATTGGTCACAAAGCCTCATATTGACTTGAGAAAAGTGGTCTCTAAAATAATTTGAGTACAAAGAACCAACTTTGAAGTAAGATCCACCTGTTCCAGTTGAGCAAAAACTGAAGCATTTTGCCTAATTTGC